GACCAACTGTCACATAATGCTATTTGAACCGTACCATCATGACTGTGCCAGCACCTGATGAATGATGAACACCTCCATCTACTTCTGGGTGTGAAAAGGTACGTAATACACTGATTTACTGCTAGATCTAGTCTCCCACTAGCCTCTGTCCTGGTAGTCTCTGACTCCTCACATATGCCACAAAGATTAGTTCTAATACCTAAATAAATAAAAGTACTACCAGCCTTGAATTATACTTAGGAATTCAATTCATGCTTCAAATAATCTTGTAACTGTGGCTCAAGCCTTCAATCATGAAAACCTGAAGATTCCCTGTCCCAAGTGAAAGGATAAAGGTGGCCGGAGGGGTGAAGGTTGATACATACTGGATAGGCCAACATAGCATCTTTAAAGAGCAATTTTTACCTAGGAATATGTTCTGGGCTCTGCATTGTGCATAAAAGGGCCATCTAACTATAGGTCCAGAGCCAAGGGGCTTGGTTTCCTGAACTATGTCTCTGTGTACAGCTCTGGATCAGTGATGGGGGAGAGTAGAAAAGAGGTACTATGGTTGGCCAGGCTATGTAAGGTCTCCACCTCTAAACTAATGATCTCTGGGGACAAATAAAGCAGTGAAAACTCTTCTTTCCATCATAAAACATATGACTGAAAGAAGGAGAGAACACAACGTGCAGAAGGAAGGGAGTTCTGTTCCAGAAGAAGGCAGAGGGAATGCTGATCAAACCAAACCAAAGTGTCCTCTACAAAGGAGATGTTAAAGTCTAGGGTTTGGCCATGGTATCTGGGTTGCTGAAAAGGAGTGGAAGATGAGGGATTAATGGAATTAAGCAGTCAAAGGAATTGTGAGGCTATATTATTTGTTGAATTTATAATCAAGTTCCCCAAAACATTGGTAGGAAAGTAGAGAAGAAAAGGGTTAGATAGAGGTCAGAGCAATAATATACTCATTTGGTTTAAAATTTAATCCTGAACTGATAATTGACCATTTTCAGTAACTCCGATCAGTTCTCACATTGTTGCAAATTAAGGGAAAAAATCGTCAAGTCAAATTCTCTCAATTATATTGGTCATGATCTAGGTCACTAGATCTATTAAAAGAACAATTCAAAGAAAAATGGAAGCAGCTAATTTAAATCTCCACAAAGCAAAACTGCAAGATATTTTAGAGCTCATACCTTCCTGAAATACAGTTAGTTCTCTTTATTTAGAATTTTAAAAATATATTAAGAGAATAATTAGATGAAACAAGACAAGTTCCAGTCTCTCAAAATAATTCTAGTGATAAAACAAATGCATCCCTGAGAAGTGACATGTCCCCACTATATATATTTGACCAACAATCCTGTTAAAACATAATTGGGTGGTATTTCTCAGGCAGGTATTATTATTCTTCAAAAATTAATTACACACTAGCACCATGAATGGTTTCCAGGTCCCTTCCTAGAATTAAGCCGTTCCCCCAAATACAAACTTGCTCCAGAAGAAAATCAATAAAAGGCAAACATATACAAGAGACTAATTTAAGTCATTTTACAGAAAATTAAACCCTTATGAAATAAACTGCTTAGTATGAAGAGCTTTTGAAGGAATAATCAGGGGGTGATGGAGGTAGTTCAAAATTCTGCTACATGGACACTTGCTCCAAGAATTCCAAGTTTAGGCTACCATAGTAATGTAGATCAGTTACATAATTTGTTAAATACATTTATAGATGTAAAATGAATACAACCTTTTTTAGTATAGTTTTAATGGAAATGTATTCTAAGTTCTAAAAGAAGTTAGCTTACAAATAACTTTCTAGAACACAAATTATTTTTGCATTAAAGATAACCAGAATTAGATGGGATTCAAAACTTAGAAATTCATACTCCAGAAAAGTAAATTCAAAATAGCAGTTAAAATTATGGGCAACATCTGATAAAAAGCCAAAATGTGAAAAACACAGACAATAAATACTTAAGAAGTTTTTAAAAGAAGTTGAACAACATGGGCTACACGGTCCCTAAAATGAGGATTTAGATGGAAAAAGTGAGGTGAAAGAAGCTATATATTGGTCATAAACTTGAATCAGAAATGATTATTTAACGGTAGTCATAGAGCTAAAACAAAATATTTGAGCAATAAATAAAAGACAAAGTAGGAAAGCTATGGAAGGACTGGATAAAGAAAGCTTAACATGCTAGGCTCAGAAGCCTAAGAACTGGAAGCTATTTCAAGTTATTAAAGAAATGACATGATGAAAATAGGGTCTTAGGAATATTAATCAAGTGGTAGTCTCTATGACAGAGGATGTTTTCTGTTACTTTCAGGTGTGCATTTGCAATTCTAACTTTTGAGACTTAAAAATTTTTAATATACCTGTACTTCCTTTGTGACTAGACTATATCTTGCTGCTATTCTCAACCTGACTAGATTCTTTGTCCTGTAGCCTAATTTTACAATTCATTCATTTATTCAAAAACTACCTATCAAGCATCTCTTACGTATCAGGTATTGTGCTAGGGATAGCATACTAAGAATTACAAACCCAGAACCTATCCTCGTGAATCTGAGAATCTAGTAAGAAACTCAGAATATGGTCTACCTTGATGAATGTTACATGGGAGCTTGAGAGAATCTGTGTTTTCGTGTTGTTGGATGGGATATTCAATAAATGTTAATTAGATCAAGTTGATTGGTAGCACTGTTCAGGTCAACTGCCTGCTTGATAGCATACTAAGAATTACAAACCCAGAACCTGTCCTCATGAATCTGAGAATCTAATAAGAAACTCAGAATATGGTCTACCTTGATGAATGTTACATGGGAGCTTGAGGGAATCTGTGTTTTCGTGTTGTTGGATGGAATATTCAATAAATGTTAATTAGATCAAGTTGATTGGTAGCACTGTTCAGGTCAACTGCCTGCTTGATTTATCAGTCACTGACAGTGGGATGTTGAAGTCTCCAACTTCCATAATAAATTTGTCTATTTTCCTTCCAGTAATCAAAATTACCACTTAGGTACACTTACCAGTTTACACTTCTAGCAGCTCTCATTTTAGGTAAGCAGATCTCAGTTGTGACTATCCACTTTTGCCTGTTTATCGGATTTCAGGGTAGGAGTTTGCCCTGCAAATTCAATTTTCTAATGTACCCAAGAAAAGTCATTGATTTTCAATTTGTTCACTGTTTTCTTGTTGTAATGACAAGATTGACAACTTTCAAGCTCTATACCTATTCTAGCTGAAACAAAGAGTCACGAACTTTGATCCCCTTTTCTAACTGAAATGAAAAGAATGTATTCTCCAAATCAATAGCTGCATAATCCTGTACCTGAAACCTTATTAATCTGCTCTGACAGTGATACCACATCAGGCAAAGTAGCTGTGACTGAGGCTACTAATTGTTTACATCTGCAGAAGCCTACAGTTTTTCCCCAAGAGACATCAAGTTTCTGTAGCCATTAGGCTGGCAAATTGAAGAGAGCAATGGTAGGCCCCAATATATTTGCATTGTTTAGGTCTTTAATTATGGAACTAATCCTTACTATCTTCCCTGGGATAAGACATATTTTTGATTTACAATTTTGGTCTGGTGAAGGGAACAGTTTCAGAAGTTGTTATTTTGTCTTTTCCCTACTAGCATGATAGCTTTTACTTCAAAGACTAAGGACCCTAGGGAGGTTACTTTCAACTGTCAAGTATATCTATTTCAATTATGTACTTGGTGATGGAGATAATTATCACTGCAGGGGTAGGGGAGTCTGTGGGCACACTGAGTCCACTGTGATTTGGACTTTGGTCATAGATTTCGACTCTGAGAATCAATGTCAACTCAGACTCTGTGTTCAGTCATCCTTAAGAGATCTAGTTATTTCAGTTTTCTCAGTGAACAGTCACCTGTGTAAGTGGCCAGAGGTCCCTTTTGGGAGGACTGTGGATACTGTCATAACATAAACTTTGACTAGTATCGCAGGGCCTTTCTTAGGAATCTGCCACCTCTTTGGTCAATAGTTTCTGATTCTAGAAATTGGTTCAGGTCTGGGAAATAAGTAAAGAATTATGCTTTTTGCCGGACTGACTGTCCTCAGCCTTCTGCTCCTCTGTTCTTGCTTTCTTTCTTTAACTAGAGATGCTGAATAGCACCATTCTTAATTGGCTTGGCAGCCAGGAGAGGAGGTGGGTGCAGCTCCTGAGAGAGAAAGCAGTTGTTTTATTGGGAAGAGGCTTCTGCAACATCTTCCAGCACAGTGGGTACTCTTCTAGCCCTTACTAGGAAAGGGTGGGCCACCTCTGCATGCCTAGAGGGTCCAGGTAGACTTGTAGAATCCAGATCCTCAGGGGCATCTATCCAGATGTCCTGTCAGAGTTTTCAGGATCCCTGGTCATCCCTATCAGGGTCCTGCCCTTCACATAACAGACTTACCTGAGCTGAGCATTCAGATGCCTCTGGAGCTCTGCAGCTCTCACAATTAGGTCTTTAGGCTGTTGTTTTACCCTGTCCACACTTTCACTACTGGTATAGAGGGCCTCTTGTGAGGTTACCACTAAGGCTTTCTGGTTTCACAACTTAGCAGCAAATGCCTGCATCATGGCTTTTTTGACAGTATTCCACTCCAACAGGACATTTTCCAAGGTCATCATCAGTGCAATCTGGGCCAGGATCTATTGCTGTCACATCTACTATTCAGAACAGATCCTCTTTCTGCTACACAGTGAGTGAGCCAGTTACAAACCCCAACTTTACCTCCTGTTTTCTCATATCACTGTCTGTACTCCTAGTTTTAGATGTGGTCTTCTGAGAATCAGACACTAAGATGGGATTACATGTGCAAGAATCATGCTATCAGACATGCCCATGTCAAAGAAAATAGAGAGGGAGCAGAAGGAGGCCAGCAGTGCAGTCTGACAGTAATGCAAGTCTGAGTCCTAGTAAAGAAGAGAAAGAGAGAGTTGGCTGAAAACAGAAGCATCCTAGGATGTAATGCAGTCTAGGAAAAGTATGGCAAAGCCATCAAGGGTGCTCACTTCTGCAGCACATATACTAAAATTAGAATGATACAGAGATTAGCATAGCCCCTGTGCAAGAATGACACACAAATTCATTAAGAATTTCATATTTTTACAAGCCAGAAAAGATTAGAGTCCTATCTTAAACCTCCTTTAACAGAACAACTCTCAGCCAATAACTCTGTATCCAGCAAAACTAAGTTTCACAAATGAAGGAGAAATAAAGTCATTTTCAGACAAATGCTGAGGGAATTTGTCATGACCAAACCAGCCCTATAAGAAATGTTAAAAGGAGTTCTAGACCTTGAAACAAAAGCCCCGAATGCACCAGAATAGAACCTCTTGAAATCTTAAAACTCTCAGAACCTATAAAACAGTAACACAATGAAAACAAAAAACTATCTAGGTAACAATTAATATGATGAAGAGAACAGTGCCTCATATCTTAATATTAACATTGAATGTAAATGGTCTAAATGCTTACTTAAGAAATATGGAATGAATTAAAAAATCACAAACCAAATATCTGCTGTCTTCAAGAGACTCACCTAACATCGAAGGATTCATATAAACTCAAGGTAAAAGAATACAAAAGGATAGTCCATGCAAATAGAAACCAAAAGTGAGCAGCAGTAGCTATTCTCATATCAGACAAAACAGACTTCAGAACAACAACACATTAAAAAAAGACAAAGATTGTCACTATATAATGATAAAAGGATTGATCCAACAAGATACTACAGTTCTAAATTTATATGCACCTAACACTGGAGCTACCAGATTTATAAAACATTTTAAAATGTTTAAATTTTAAAAATTACTGCTAGATCTAAGAAATGAGACAGCAACACAATAATGGTGGAAGACTTCAATACACCACCGACAGCATTAGACAAATCTTTGAGACAGGACGTCAACAAAGAAACAATGAACTTAAATGACACTCCAGAACAAATGGACTTAACAGATATTTACAGAAAATTCTTTCCAACAACTGCAGAAGATACATTCTTATCAGCACATGGAACATTCTCTAAGACAGACCATATGATAGGCCACAAAACAAATCTCAATGTTTTTTTAAATTGAAATCACATCGAGTATCTTTTTAGACAACAAAGGAATAAAACTAGAAATCAACTCCAGAAGAAACCCTCAGAACTATACAAATACATGCAAATTAAATAATCTGCTTCTGAATGATATCTGGGTTAACAAAGAAATAAAGATGAAAATTTAGAAATTCTTTGAATTGAATGATGATAATGACACAAGCTATCAACACCTCTAGCATACAGCAAAAGTACTGCTAAGAGGAAAGTTTATAGCACTAAATGTCTATATCAAAAAGGGTGAAAGAGCACAACTTGACAACCTAATGTCATACTTCAAGGAGCTAGGGAAGCAACAATAAACTAAACCCAAAGCTACAAAAAGAAATAATATCAGAGCAGAACTAAATGAAATTCAAACAAAAAGATACAAAAGATCAATGATACAAAAATCTGGCTCTTGGAAAAAATAACCAAAATAGAACATTAGTTAGATTAACTAAGAAAAGAAGAAAGAAGATCCAAATAAGCTCAATTAGAAATGATATTAGAAACATTACAAACAATACCACAGAAATAACACAAGATCATTCAAACTGGGCATGGTGGTTCACACTTGTCATCCCAGCACTTTGGGAGGCAGAGGCAGGCAGATCATTTGAGGTCAGGAGTTTGAGACCAGCCCGGCCAATACGGTAAAACCCTGGCTCTACTAAAAATACAAAAATTAGCCAGGTGTGGTGGTAGGCACCTATAATCCCAGCTACTTGGAAGGCTGAGGCCGAGAATCACTTCAACCAGGAGGTGGAGGTTGCACTGAACTGAGATTATGTCACTGCACTCCAGCCAGGGTGACAGAATAAGACTCCAACTCAAAAAAAAAAAAAAAAAAAAAAAAGTCATTTGAGACTGCTATGAATAACTTTATGAGCACAAACTAGAAAACCTAGAGGAAATGAGTAAGTTCTTGGAAACATAAAAGCCTCCTAGGTTAAATCAGGAAGAAATAGAAACCCTGAACAGATCAATAACAAGCAATGAGAATGAATCAATAATTTAAACGTTGCCAAAAGCAACAACAAAGATAACCAGGACCAGATGTATTCACAGCTGAATTCTATCAGACATTCAAAGAAGAACTGGTATCAATCCTACTGAAACCATTTCAAAAGAGTGAGAAAGAGGGAATCCTCCCTAAATCATTTTATGAAGCTAGTATCACCCTGATACTAACACCCAGAAATGATACAACAGAAAAAGAAAACTACAGACCAATTTCCCTGATGAACACAGATGTAAAAATCCTCAACAAATACTAACTGAATCTAACGGCACATCAAAAAGATGATGTATCTTGATCAAGTGGGTTTCATTCATTCGAGGTATGCAGGGATGATTTAACATATGCAAGTTAATAAATGTGATATATCACATAAACAGAATTAAAAACAAAAACCATATGATAATCTCAATAGATGCAGGAAAAGCACTGGACAAAATCAGCATCACTTTGTAATAAAAACACTAAACAAACTAGACATTGAAGGGACTTACCTCAAATAAAAACCATACATGACAAACCCACAGCTAACATCATACTGAATGAAGAAAAGTTGAAAGCATTTCCTCTGAGAACAGGAACAAGACAAGGATGCCTTCTTGCATAACTCCTATTAAGTATAATTCTGGAAGTCCTAGCCAGAGCATTCAGGAAAGAGAAAGAAGTAAAGGGCATCCAAATTGGAAAAGAGGAATCTAAACTATTGTTATTTTCAGATGACACGATCATATACCTAGAAAATCCTAAAGACTCCTCCCAAAAGACTCCTAGATTTGATAAATTGAGTAAAGTCTCAGGTTAAAAATTCAATATACACAAATCAGTAGCATTGCTACACAACAACAATGACCAAGCTGAGAATCAAATCAAGAACTCAATCTCTTTTACAATAGCTGCAAAATCAAAACAAAACAAAACAAACAGCTAGGAATATACTTAACCTAGCAAATGAGATGTCTCTACAAGGAGAACTACAAAACACTGCTCAAAGAAATCACCGATGACACAAAAAAATGGAAACACATCCCATGCTCATGAATTAGAAGAATCATTGTTGTGAAAAGGATCATATTGCCCAAAGCAGTTTATAGATTCAATACAATTCCCATCAAAATACCAACATCATTTTTCACAGAATTAGAAAAAAAATCCTAAAATTCATACGAAACCAAAAAAGAGCCCAAATAGCCAAAGCAATCCTAAGCAAAAAGCATAACTCTGGAGATATCATATTACTGAACTTGAAATTATACTACAAGGGTATAGTTACCAAAACAGCATGGTACTTGTATAAAAAGCAGGCACACATATTAATGGAACAGAATAGAGAACCCAGAAACAAAGTCAAATACTTAGAGCCAACTGATCTTCAACAAAGCATACAAAAACATAAATTGGGGAATGGACACCATATTTAATAAACGTTGCTGGGAAAACTAGCAATCCACGTGTGGAAGAATGAAACTGGATCCCTATCTCTTACCTTATATAAAAATCAACTCAAGGTGGATCAGAGACTTAAATGTAATACCTGAAAGTATAAAAATTCTAGAAGACAAGGTTGGAAAAATTCTCATAGACATTGGCCTAGGCAAAGAATTCATGACTAAGATGCAAAAAGCAAATGCAATACAAACAAAAATAAATAAATGAGACCTAATTAAACTAAAAAGTTTCTACACAGCAAAAAAAAATAATAATCATCAGAGTAAACACAAAACCCACAGAATGGGAAAAAATATTTACAAACCATACATCTGATAAAGGACTAGAATCTACAATCTATAAGGAACTCAAATAAATCAGCAAGAAAAAAAACAATCCCATCAAAAAGTGAGCAAAGGACATGAATAGATATTTTTCAAAAGAAGGCCAGCAAACATATGGAAAAATGCTCAACACCACTAATCCTCAGGGAAATGTAAATTAAAACCACAAATATACTACCTTACTCCTGCAAGGATGGCTATTAAAAGGTCAAAAAATAATAGATGTTGGCATGAATGTGGGGAAAAGGGAATGCTTATACACTGCTGATGGGAATATAAATTACTACAACCTCTATGGAAAACAGTATGGAGATTCCTTAAAGAGCAAAATGACCCAGCAATCACATTACTGGGTATCTGCCCAAAGAAAAAGAAGTAATTACGCAAAAAAGACACTTGCACACGTAGGTTTATGTAGCTCAATTCACAATTGCAAAGATGTAGAATCAACCTAAGTGCCCATCAGCTAACAAGGAGATAAAGAAATATATCACCATGGAATACTACTCAGCCGTTAAACGGACTGAAATAATGTATTTCGCAGTAATTTGGATGAAATAGAAAGGTAATATTCTATGCAAAGTAACACAAGAGTGAAAAATCAAAAACCGTATGTTCTAACTTATAAGGCGGAGCTAAACTGAGAGTATACAAAAGCATACAAAGTAATATAATGAACTTTAGAGACCCAGAAGGGTATGGCTGGGAGAGAAGGAAGGGATAAAAAAAAAATACCCTTTAGGGACAAATTATACTACCCAGGTGACGGGTGCATTAAAATCTTAGAATTTACCACTGTATAATTCACCCACGTGACCAAAAAAAAAGGAAAAGAAAAAAAAAAAAAGAAAAAATCCTCATACCCCAAAATGCATTGAAATAAAAAATTTCTGAAAAAAGCCATCAGGAAACTTTAAGTCAAAGTCAGCTGACAATGAACCAATATCATGGGGATAAGCTGACAATGGAGTCCCATGTTTCACAGGAATGGGTCTACCTTAGTTGCTCCATTGCACTTGATCATAGGCAGAGAATATAGCCCTTGGGGAGTATAAACCTGATACAAAAGTAGTGATGGATTTTGAAGCCCAGCACCTAGGGTCCTCAACTAACCTTCCTGTCCTGGGAAGTCTGCGAGGTTCATTGTTGGGTCACCACACTAACTTTTCTATTTTTTTAAAAATTATTTTTTCTCTCCTTTTTTCTTCTTATTTCTTCCCAATCAACACACTA